GGTACCTCATCTTTTTATGTCTATTACGGATATTAGTAAAATTGCATTATATTCTGAATCCAATTGAGTTACAATTACATGACAATTCTTATGCATTTAGATATTTGAAATTGATTTGAATACCACGAAGAATATGATTATATTTTTAAAGAGTCTTTTCTGAAGAATTTCTGTCCCTTTGATAGATATTGCATATCATAAGACTGCTAATCAATCTATTGTCTGTTGCCTGGCAGAAATGGGCAGGCAAGTGAACATATAAGCACCTAGAAAGAGCCAACAAACTAAGGCATGATCCTGAAGTCATTCTTTTGTTCTTCTAATGATGAAAATGTGGGCTACTTGGTATTCGGATAAACATGATGGCTTCTGTTGGATTTGTCAGCTTCTAGTCTTCTGTATATTAAGCAAAATTGAGAATAAAATAAAGAAACATATGGAGCTCAGATAAAAGAAGAAAAGTAAAAAGAAGGAAAGGCCTTTTAACTTAAATGCTTTGATGATTTTTTTAGTCTTAGGCCTCCTGGCAGGTGATGTGTTTACAGATGATCCATAAAAGTACCCAGAAAAGCAGGGCACGAGGTACTAGGCACCCTCGCTCCCTTATTGGTGKTGTAGTCCCTCAGAAGCCTGTCAGATCACGTGTGTGCACTGTGCAGAGACKAATCAGTGGGGATGCTCCTTATCCCTTGTCAAAAATTGCTACAGTCATCAAAGCCRTAGCTAAATGGGAGGTGTTGTCTTGGTGCCTAAGCTAACAAGGACTAGGGATTTCAAAAGTTGTAGAAGCATCAGGCTGAGAAGAGTTCCTTCCTGAAATGGGGTTTTAGGACTTGAGCTATAAAGTAGCCAAGTCTTGGCCATGTGAACAAGGTGTGTTTTGGTGAAGTGCTATAATTGTAAATGTGCCCTTGTAAACTGCTCCTGTGTAACTGTTGGGAGGCTCTCTTAATTTGTGTAATTAGTTTGTATGAGGTAGTATTTCACCTGCTGCAGCCTGATGCTGGTCTTAAGTGTGGTAGTGTTCCATAACATTGTAGTATTCTATTAAAATCCTTGTATTTACAAYCATGCTAATTAGCTTAATGATCTATACATTTGGTCACCTGCATCACTCTGATTTAAAAAAAAAAAAAAAATCAAAATTTCACACATGAGAGAAAAGTGGTGGGTGAACTTTTTTGGAACATAGGATTACCTGTCCAAATCCTTGTACCTGGGGCTAATTTGTACTTGATGATGAGAAAAAAAAAAAAAAAAACCCTAAGACAACAATCCAGGACTTGAGGAACTGAGTTGAAATGATAGTATCTCAATGTTCTCTGGAGATTATTAGATGTCTGTTGTGACGTTAGGAGATGGACTTTTTTTTTTTTTTTTTTTTTTTCTGAAAGTATCAGATGCTTCTATTTTGCACTTCAGGAGTTGTGGTTTTTTCCCCTTTTTTCTTTCTGTACCCCCCCATATCTTTATTTTCTGCTCTTGATAACAGAGGAAGAGGAATGACAGGAGGATGAAATCAAAGTAATCATAATTACATTAGCAGGATGATGCAAGAATTGAAAGCTTCTGGTCCCATTTATTTCATTCTGAATTTGGAGCTTTTCTGTTAACACAGTATAAAAAAGGCACATTCAAATATTTTCCTTTTATATAGGAAAGATATATATTTTTTATATATATATATATATAAGAATAACATTTTATATAAGCTGAATTGTCTTTCAGCACTGGAGCTCAYTTCTTGTTTGCTGTTCCAGTATGCTAACTTTCTGTTTCTCCTGAGTTGTAAGCATATGTGACATTTGCAGAAGAATTTTGAAAGAAAGGAACAGCTCTGTATACTAGAGATTGGTATATTTACTTTTTATATGCTTCTGTTCTGAAATCAWTGATACTCCAAGTATGTGTATACGGTAGCTGGTTGGTAAAGGTAAATTACCTGTTTTATCAAAAACCTTTTGTCTCAGTTCTCCTTGGAAAGGAATTTTCTGTTCATATTTGTTGTAACCTGGGTAGTGTTGGTGAAAATTATAGTATGTCAGTCACAGTTGAGCTCATCAAAGTCGTCTTGAGAGTGACTGTTATTGTCTCTTTGCAGCTGTGTTTGTAGGAAAGAAGCATTGCTTGGGCTATTTTTGCATGCGCTAGAAAAGATGCRTTTTTTGTCTCCATTTTACTTCCCTCTATGGCTATAAAATTTGAAATAACAGTGCTAAATATGAAACTTCCAAATGACAAGAATTTTTCCAAGTTTTCTTTAGGTGTTTCTGGTGTTTATATAACCTTGACAATATATGTAACCTCCYCTATAAATAATTTCTGAGTATTTTATAAAAAATATTTTATAAAAACTGAAGAGAAATTTTGCAGTACTGGGACAAAAATCAAGTCCAACATCATTGTGTGAGTTGATCAAACTTTGGTCCATTTCTCTGCATTGTTTTTGCTAGCACCTTCATTCTGTTCCTCTTTTTTTGAATTGTACAACCCAGCTATAGCACTTTGCTCTGCTTTTGGGAGTGTAGTTTAACAATTGCTTTAAGATTTTGCTGTGGACTTTTACTCTCACTAGAGCTTGTGTATTAAGTAGCGAGCTGTGTCAGCTAAAACTTATAACCTCTCCTCCCCATGGTTTTCATGGTTTGGCTTTTTGTTTCCGTTCTCATACCTGCATGAGACCCTGTATGGCTGCATGGTGGCTTGTGTTAACAGAGGGAAGAGGTGGGAACATCCATGTAAGCCCTTAGGACCCTCCAGGGTCCTTTGTAGGACTGGTTCCAGGATGTATGTGTGTGTCTGTCTCTCTGCAAAGCTGTTCTCTGCCTGCTTGGTCCCAGCCTGTGCTGCTGCCTGGTGGTTTTCATCCCTGGCATGGGCACCGTGAGGTTCCTCTTAGCGCTTTACGGCAGCTGGACAGGAAGGCAGCACAACACCTTTAGCCTAAGCACCCTTAGTTTTGTTTTAGATAGATGTCTAATATTAAGCACTCAGAGAGCACTTAAGCTGCGAGATGACTGTCATCTAGCCAGAGAAAGAGYATGTCATTTAAGAGAACATCTGCTCTCACCAAGTGTGTATATATACGTATAGAATCCTTGCAAACACAGACTAAATTTCTAACTTATTCCTATAAATTTACATAAAATATATAGTTTTCTTTGCGAGAATGCAATATAAGTTGTATTGGCTGAAAGCTGCAGTGTCACACCACTAACAATATTTTTGTAGGAAAAAATAGTATTTCTTCCATGAAGTTGATAAGAAATTCTACAGCTAAAAAGTCCAGAATAAACCTGCTTAAAGTATTTGTTCTTTCTTTTTGTTCCTGGCTAGAATTTGTTAACCTTTGGATCATAGCAGTAGTGGTGCTGGAAATTGTAATGTCTTTAGGTAGAGTTAAGAGCCAACTTAATTTTACAAGGGAAAGATGTTTTCCTGAAAATATTTGTTCTGATTCAGATACAACAGAAGGAAATACAAAAGAGAAGTTGAAAAGCAAACAAACAAACTGCAGCTGAATATAAATCAAATGTTTTAATGTCCATAGGGAAACTTTGTCTGTTAAACTGTTACTTTGGTGTATAACACATGAAATGTCAGTCCATAATTCATCATCATTCTTCATAATTATGTTGCTTTGATGTTGATTATAATATTAATGCCAGGGGATAGCACAATAGTTTTAAAATCAGTAAATGCATAATTGAAATGATTAAATCTGAGTAAGTGCATTTATCTTTTGAAATAAGCATAATTCTCCAGTTAGAACAAAACTATTGTGGCTTGCCCAGATATTCCTTGAAAAAAGCTTTTTACAAATTATACGTGTGTACGTATACCTGCTGCACCACATGAAGGTGCTGCAAGAGGCAGGTGATTTGCTCTTCCATGTGAGATAATTGATATGCAACGTGAAAAGGCTGATGCCTTTAACTCCATACCATCCTTGCAGCAAAAGCCCTGAAACCTGACGTTGTTTGTGGGAGGCACTGCCTGGAAAGCAGGAAGCTCTCACTGCCTCCCTGAAAAGGCTCTCACTGCCTCCCTGAAAAGGCTGAGTCTGACAGCTGCCTGCCTTATTTATTTATTTTTGATTTAAGCAGGGTATTTCAAGGAATAAATGCTCTCTACTAACGCATGCAGGGTTTACTATATTATCTTATGCTGAGCCCCAGATTGGGTAGTTAGGCATACGGAGAAGAGGAAAATCTTACTGATTGGGCCTTGTATAACTTTGTCTCATTTGGGACACCTGAATTTATCCAAGGCAACTGCCAAATCTGTTTCCTGCTGTGGGTAATCTTCACCATCATTCACACTTCCTGCTTTTTTTCACCATCATTCACACTACTCAGCTTTTGGTTGCTGGGATCATTCTTTGACTTTAATCTGCCCCAAGAGAGACGTGTAAAAGATGCTGAGCATTGCAGTCTGCTTGAACACGCATCTGAAATAAAATCACTTGGAATTTGTTCCACTATCCAGTCATACCCCTTGAGTAAGTCTGGCGGTCTGTACCTCTCCCTAGTGCAGTCAGTGTCTTCATTTAATCGCTGTTGTCTTGAAGACAATTCTTCATACTTTTTATCTGAGTCTAGATCATATTGATCAATAGCTGAGGGTTTTAGAGCAGTTGGAAGGGTGAGAAGAAAAACAAGGGTGGATGAGGTTTTTTTTTTCTATATTCACACAATGAGAACAGTTAGAGATGTGTGATGTTGTATCCTCTTCTATATTTTTTTCCTGCATATCAAGTTTTCTCAAGGGCACTGGGAAAAGTATCAGTAGCACCAATGTTCATGCTTCCTGAACTATGGACAATATGGTTTCATATTTTTAAAGCAAGAATATGTAATTGTCAAGTTAAAAAATTACCATAGTTTTCTTTACAACTGGTGTTTTCCTTTACSTTGCACTTACAGTCTTGTAATAATTTGGTTTTTAACAATTTACTGAGCTCTGCATTGTTTCAGTTGATTCTTTCTGCTCTGTTACAGGAAATTCCACCACCAGGGTATTATGAGGTCCAAAAATCCTATGAGAAAACACGTGGGAAAAGCCGCTATATGTCTCCCCGAACAGCACTGGCCAAAAAAAACCAAGGCTCCTTTCTTAGTTCAGCACCTAGATACAGCTTACTTGTGGCTCACAGGGATATACCAGGTAAGTTTAATTTTTGTCCAGGGAAGTACTATCTTATTTACTGGAAACGGCTACAAAATCTTAGTGKTGAGTCATTTAACCATTGATTTTTAGACAACAGTCCTTTCGCTGGATTTATTTAGGTAAGGCTATCCATGTTATACTTCATCTGAGATCATTTATGACCACTTTAGTTTTGCATAGGGCTGTTGAATTGATTATGCTTTTTAATGCTGTTATATAATTAACCTGCTCATTGTCTGTATTTTGTTTTCTCTTCCCCTCATTCTGAGTTCCAGCTTCATTAGCTACAATTTTTTGTGCCTGTGAATTTGTGCTTTCCTCTTGTATGCTATCTTCCCAGAACTTTTTAAGCATTTCTTTTTTTTTTCTTCTTTTGCCCCTAGAGTGCTACTCAGCATTTTGCAGCTATTTTGAAATATTTAGGTATAAAGTCAGTAAAATAAGAACTCATTATTAAATCTTCATTACAATGGAATAAACAGTGAGATTATAGAAACTTTTAAGTAAATACAAATGTAAATCCAACTGATAGTAGGAGCTATTCATGTCTGCTCCTTGGCTGTTTCTGCACATGAAACAAACTAGACGTTTTTGGTGAGTGTTTCCCAAATAAGAGGACATGTGTCCATTTCTTCCCCGTTGGTCGTCATTAAAATTTGTACTTGGAAATGATTTCCATTAAGAGAAAAAAGGTTGCAGGGAGATAGAGATTTTTTTCTTAGTAGTTCCTCAAATGCAGCATGAGACATCTTGATACACTTGTTTGGTGAAGACTTTTGGTCTCCAAATATCAGTCTGTCAGGTTTGCTGGTCTGCAGTCATATTTTTAAGTGAAAAGAATCACAATTAATTTTGGAAGATTTAATTCTGAAACAGAGCTGAAATAACTCAACTGGCAAGTACTTGGCTTCCTGTCTGAAAGTTCTGACAATTCTAAATGAATCAAACATAGATTTGGATAGAAAGAGTTGAGATGTGGAAGCTTTCTGGCAAGAACCAAATATCATTACCAAATGCTTAATTTTGATCTCTGTCACTGCTGGTGTCATAGTAGCTAGGAGATTTCCCCTTCCAAGCCAATTTTATTGATAGTTAAACTGAGTTTAAATTAGATATTTTAGATTTGTTTATTGCTTGGGGAGATTTTTCTTTGGTAGTTATTTTTACCAGTAATTTCTTAGCAAATAAGAGTATGTGCATAATGGATTTCATGACAAAAAGCATGACATGAAGTTTTGAGTAATGCTAGTTTGCTCTTGCTAGCTTGCATTTTGCGGTCCTATTTGTTTACTGTAGAACTATTGCTCTTTAGAGCAACACTTGATAGGATCATTTAAAATTTTGTCTTGTTCCCGAATGACTTAAATTACCAAAAAAATTAACTTTTTTTTGGTAAAAAGTAATTTAATTTTTTTGGTAATTTAAGTCATTCTGGAAGGCTTCTTTAAGGTTTTGAAAAATTCATAGATGACCTAATACCTAGGATTTTGCAATACAATACAGGTGAGAAGGCAAAACTGTTCATAAAACAGAGCATCCACAGTGTTCTCTTTTCAACAGAAAAGAGAAACTGCTGAAACTCCTAACTATTTTTAATGTGGCATCCTTATTTATCTGGTCATTTCATTTTCTGTAACCAAATTAACACTGAAGTGCAGATTTACAATTTGTATAACCTGAATGCTAACCATTTTTTTTTACAAAAGGCATTAGTACGATTCTCCTCAGGCAAAATTGTAATGAAATCCAGATGAATGGTCACTAAGGTACAATTCTTCTATTTCAATTTGCGTAATGTAATATAAGAATTGATTTGAATTCATTTAAAGAAAAATATCTGCARTGAAGTGGAACTTGTTACAAAGCAGTCCCACTTATTAGTGAATTTTCCTCCCTACCTTTATGTAGCTTTTTGTAAGGGGGTCTCATTTAAAAGAAGAAATTGATTTTTTTCTTGAATTTTCAATTAAGTTACCAAAAGATTATTTTGTAATAAATAATTATAGACTCTAACCACCTATCCTCATTGATTATAAATTGTTTCTTAAAATGTGCATGTGTTTRGAGAGAAAAAAATATATAAAATCATTGCATTAGAATTGTCATAGATCTATATTAAGATGGATGTATTATCAAAAATACACTGTGTTTTGTTTGGTAAGTGTCTTGTACTGCACCAGAGACATCTCAGATACTACCTGGGCAGTTTAAAAAATAAATAAAAATACTGCACTACTCCAAAATCTCTTTGGGAGGATGGGGAGCAAAAAACCCAGCCTGAATCTTCATCAAAATATCACTATGGCTTGAGACACAGCCCTAAAATAAATTATTCTAGATTTAAAAAAAAAAATCTTTAAAATTAATTGAACATATCACTTGAAAGTAGTTTTATCCACTTTTTCAATGTGTACAAGCAGTACCTTTGATATAAAAGTCAGTGGTGTGTGAAAACTAATTATTTCTTCTCTTTGGTTGTTGGCTTGTAATAGCGTGTGCTCAGAAACACTGCAGAGTTTGTAAAACAATTCTGTTCTGTGACTGTTCCATTGTGTGCATCCCAAAGCTATTACTCAGTTGTTTTTTTCTCTTTTCGTTTGACCTTTTCTTAAGGAAGCCTCCTTGTGTATTAAAACATTGCTTTTATTTTAAATCACAGTGGTTTTACTTCTGTGGCATTCTGTATGTATACTACTGGAAAGAAAAGCATTAGGTCTGTTGGACCTGACTCTGATCTGTGTGAGGTGTATTTGAAACAGCTGTCATTATTCAGGATTAACACCAGGTATTTGTAGAATTAAATGCAATAGTACAGTTGAGTAAATATAGTTGAGGTCAGTGAGTTTGGTTCTTCCATTGTTCATATGTTAGATATGATCAATGTTTATATTTATGGAGCAAACTTGGCTCTGCCATCTTAATTTTTATCTAGACATCTAGAAGTATCTAGAAGTTTCTTGTTTTATAACCTTGTATATTTATTATATATGTGCATACAAAAAATATTGTTATTTGTAATGACAAGTCCACTTAAAATGCCTGTTCTTAGAAATTTGTATTTATGAGGAGTCCCTGCCAATTTAATAAGTAAGCAATACTTGCATATTTCAAAGTTTAATCATTAAAAAGCAGTCCTAAGTGTGAAAATTAGTTAGGGAAAGTCAGTCATGCAAGAAAAGGTCAGTGAGTATAGATTACCATTCAGACTGTGATGCCTTTCATTTTTGACAAGAAATAAAAGTCTGGCAGAAGCATTAGTGTCAACTGCAGAGAAGAGACTGCAGATGCTAACAGAAGGGTTTCTATATCTGTAATCTACACTTACTGTAAAACGCTGTAAGAAAATTCTCAGAGAAAGAGCAAGAGAGAATAGGAGAGAGAAAAGTAAAATTGCCTATCAAATATCTTTTCTTTAGCAGAGCTGAAGAAAAAAAGGCTACGGTAAGTTGATGTGTTCTGTGTTACATTGTTCCCACTCGCCTTCCTCCATATTTTCAGGAGGAGTTGGTTGCTTTTGGTTGAATTAAACACGAGAGTCTCAAATACCTTCCTTCTGTGCTCATGAAATTTGGTAGCCTGGTAGAGGAGATGGAGGCTTTTGCTTCATCCCTTGTCGTACTAAAGGATATAGTGGGAGTTGAGTTCTTATTGGAGAAACTCCATGAAAGAGAGAGGTTTTGTGAACTTCTGTGGGCTTTCAAAAAGAGCCCCAGAATTTGCCACAGGGTAATTATTACTCCTACACTGTAGTAGAGGTACAAGCATTGGGGAGGGGATGTTGTTGCTTAAAAGGAGTTCTCTAAGTTTATGAAACCTCAAAGTGTAGGGGTAGTGTTGAAACCAGTTATGATTCTCAAATCCTCCTCTGCAGTCTTGAGGCAATTCATACTGTGGTTTAAAGACCATAGATAAAACTTTCATGTCCAAAATTGTGTCATTAATTTTAATTCATAGCAACCTAGGAGACTTKCATCTGTGTTTGTGGTGTTTGGCTTTTGAAGGATGTTGTTGCATAAGGTGACCATGGGAGCCTCTAGAGCTTGTGACCCACCTGAGGCTGCTGTGTAAGCACCAGAACTTTGTTGTTGTTGTTAATGCACTCTYTCTGGGCAAAAGTTCATTTGGAGTAGCTAGATGACTGTGTGGCTTGGTTTTTGGTATTTAAATTCTACTGCCTATATTTGKAAACAGCTTTAAATTATTTAGTAAATTTTGCATGTTACACATTATTGTATTGACTCAATTGTAAGTCAAAGACATGATGGAAGCACAATTTCCTCTTTTAAAACATGAGCAAACCTCTTTTTCTTGTCTGAGAGAAAGGACCAGAGTTCAGCAGAGGGCTTTTCTGCTTATCTTTAAGTGGCAACTGAGCAAGCAGAAGATGGGGATAAATAGAGGGTGCGGGGCAGCTGTCTTCCTAGTGGAAGCAGTGGATGCACTAACATATTTTTTCTGCTCATGAGCACGTCAATGCATTAGTGCAGAGGCCACAAACTGACAATTCAGCACTGTCAGTCTTTGTACCAGTCTGGAATGAGTCTTAAATGGCAAGTCCTTGCCTGTGAAACTGTTAAAATTTCTTTTCATACTAGAAATGTCCCTGAAACATTTCTGCATCAGTAAGTATCTATCTATATGGGCCTGCCATTTTATCTATCATCAGGGAGCTGTAAAAGCAAATTTATAGTGCTTTTTCTGTGGAGGTATTTTCTTACTAATCTACCATCCAACAGAAAATGGATTGAGCTTATGTCTTTTTGTATTTTTTTTTTAATTCCCAAAGGTGTATTGAAATTAGAGGGAGAAATAGATCATCAGGTCTTCTTTGAGCCCAGCTGAGTGGCATTGGGAGTGGTGGCTGTTTGCCTGTGGCTGCTGGGTCTGGAGCCAAAAGCCTGTGGATTATCAATAGCCAAAAAAAGTACAAGGGAGAGAAGTTCCCATGCCGCTAGCAGTGGGTGTGGTTATTGATGGTGGCTCAGCAGGTAGGTTTT